TAATTTGGCAAAGTTCATTACATTGAGCACCAAGAGACACCAATAAGGACTGACTATAAAATTTGGTGTTTTTCAGTTAGCAACCAGTGGGTTGGCAATTCCAGAGTTATTTAAACTGGATTTGGGTAGCAAAGAAACTGGCACCAAGACTCCCATTCTGCAACAAAGTCGAAAAAAGGTACTTGTTGGACTTGGTCATGTAGCGAGACAGCCACAAAAGGATCGGGACAAATTTAGATAACCAATTAAACCGTGTATTGCTAAACAAAAATTCCTCCAAGCAATATCACATTCTCAGCTGCAACAAAGGTTCCAAAACCAACCTGCTCGACAATACTTACAATAAATTAGTGACAGAATCTTCTGTTTCCCCAGTGTAGTTTAAAAGGCTAAGTGTAAATATTTCTTGTACACATGAAAGTTGATTCCGAGAAAGCAATAATTGCCTGAAAAGTATTTCTTTTAACTTTTTGAAAAAGCTCTGGAGTATAAGTAAATAGATTCTAATAATGTTAAAAATAAATCATTGTTTGAATTAATGTAAATAAGCAAAGTAGGAATATAGTTTTAAATTATTTCAAGTAAACAACTTCTTTTAATTCAAAGTATAATTTTCATTGCTACGCCACTGGCAGCTGCCTCAATCTTAAACTCTGGAATTCCCTCACAGTGGAGCAAATGACATTGCTTCTCTGACCCCCTTCTCCTTTAAGGTGATCCTTAAAACCTACTCCTTTGACCAAGTTTTTGATTTACCTATCCCAAAAGCTTTAGGTGGTTGAGTGTCAACTTTCATTTCATAAGAACGTAAGAACATAAGAACTAGGATCAGGAGTAGGCCGTCTGGCCCTTCGAGCCTGCTCCGCCATTCAATAAGATCATGGCTGATCCTTTCGTGGACTCAGATCCACTTACCTGCGTTCTCACAGTAACCCTTAATTCCTTTATTGTTAAAAAAAAATCTACTTTTTTAAAAAACATTTACTGAAGTAGCATCAACTACTTCACTGGGCAAGGAATTCCATAGATTAACAACCCTCTGGATGAAGAAATTCCTTCTCAGTTCAGTCCTAAATCTGCTCCCTCTAATCTTGAGGCTATGCCCTCTTGTCCTAGCTTCACCTGCCAGTGGAAACATCCTCTCTACATCTATCTTATCTATTCCCTTCATAATTTTATATGTTTCTATAAGATCCCCCCTCAATCTTCTGAATTCCAATGAATATAATTCCAATCTACTCAGTCTCTCCTCATAAGCCAACCCCCTCAACTCCGAAATCAACCTAGTGAACCTCCTTTGCACCCCCTCCAGTGCCAATACATCCTTTCTCAAGTAAAATGGGATGTTTAACTATCTTTAAAAAACAAAAAAGGTACTACACAAAAGCAAGGGTGCTATTGTATACTTGCAGCCGTGGTGTTGCCTGAGATCTAATAATACATGACAATATAATGCCATAAAATATACCATCCCTTAGCCACAGGGAGTCTGTCAGGCCAGCAGCAATTGTTCCCAGCAAACATGCTGTCTAAAACTTATCAGTTTTGTAGGTTGTCAAGATAGTAGAAAATTGAAAGATCATTATTCACAACTTCCATCATCTGATTTTAATATCCAAGACCTTCAGGATCTAATATGGTTTTGGAAAGGAAGAAATTGGGATCTAAAATGGTGCAATCACCTGACCACAGATTGAAGCAAGTTCACAAAACCAATGTGGAATAATAAAATCATTGGAACCAAAACTGCCATTTAATATTAAAGTAAAACTTAGAAGCCAGTCAACTGAGCTATGCATCAAAAACCTGCATCTCATGTTTTAATTTGCACTTATAATAACATTTCATGTCCAATATGCACAAGGTTACTTAACTATCCAACTTAGAAAGACAATGAAGCCAGACTCAGGAATACACAGATGAACTGTAGTTCTGTAGCTGCTTGACAGAGCAGCAGACTGGGTGGAAGAAAATGGATTGGTCGTAGCAAGAATTGAAAGTACCCCTCTTGCCCGACTTCCTAATCATCAAGAGCTGGTGAGAAGACAAAAGAGAAATATCCAAACACTCAGAAGGATTCTCCAAATTTTGCTCGTGCTGAGGATATAGGATGCCTAAACAGCCCTGGTTTCAGATTCAACCATAACAACCCACTGACTCCAAGGACTTCTTAAACTGTATATTATTTGTGTTATATCTTCTCCCTTTTTAAAACTCTATACATACGTTTCTCACACATTATTATTTGCTCAGGGGTTCTTTCACTCTAGAAATTTTATAATTGTCTCCTTAATTAAAGCTTACTACTAGTCAGATTAAAATGTAATACAGCTGTATTCTAAAATGATTTTTTTAATGCAGTTAACCAAAGGGAAGAGGAGGTGGCAGTGTTTAAAAAGAGGCGAGCCTACTCATCTGGTTGCAATAACATTATATATTTTCCAGCCTATAACTAGCTATCATTATGAAACTGAGGTGAAGTAGGAAGGGGAGAAGAGAGAGAAGCAGGCAGGATGTCAAGGTCATACATTTTCATCTTTTGTAGGTTTCCATGCAGGCACTATTAAATATTTGTTTGGTATTACTGGAGGTGCCTGTGCATCAATATGAACCATGCATAGATGAAATTGGGACTGTGGCAGTTTTCCAAAACAGCTATCCAATTAGTCTGTGGTTAGTCTTTTCTTAAAGCCCTTTCTCGTCATAACCCGCTTTTCAAGTATTTTTCCAATTTCCCACTTGAAAGTTACTATTTATTCTACTTCCACCACTCTTTCAGGGAGCACATTCTAGACCATTGTAATTCTGCATAAAATGAAATGCATCATCCTCTCTGGGTCATTTGTCAATTACCTTAAAATAGTTTTGTTTAAAATGACCTCTTGCCAGTTGTTCCCTATTTACTCTGGTATGAACCTCAAAGGGAATAAAATGAACATCAAAAGTCTACACTTTAGACACTTGACTGGGCAAACAATTTCAACTGACTTGTAGAGTTTAACAATAAAACCACTCACACACAGCCTTGCAGCAACCACAAATAATCTGGCTACTTCCAATTTCAGAATAGCCAGCCTTAACTGACTCCCTGTAACAGTGCAAACATGATTCAGTTATTCTATCAATCCTGAAAACGTGATGGGAGTATGGGAGCACAGAAGGGACAAAGCCCAAATGCCACAAAATATGAGTGCTAACTTGGAAACTTGTTGCAGGTGGGTACAGAAGAAGAAAGTGGTGCGCTATTGTATTCTTTCAGCCTCTGGGGGCCGATGGAAATGTTCATGGTTTTAATTCTGCTAGTAGGTAGGTGATTGTTTTGGTGAGCTGCTAAGGTTTTATCTCTAATTGTGGGCACTAATTTAAACAACTACTGGAAACATGTTGTACAAATTCAAACCAATACTATAAAGTCCCCGTTTAGTGTTGCCTCATTTTGTTATTGTTTTGCTTAAATGGTCAGCTAATGGGGCCTGAACTTCTGGACAGGGTCATAAGATTAGTCTGTCTGATCAAACCTAGGGCTGTGTGACCAAATCAATGCCTTTTTACATCAGCATCTCCCATTGTGTAACTGAAACTCTACCAGCCCTCGCACTGGTGGCCACAACTGCTCCCAGACTCACTCTTTTTGCCGATCCCCTCCCACTCCCCATTCCTTGATTCCTCAGCTCGACATTTCTGAGCAGAGAGGGGCAGGAGCAGCAACAGCTTCAGCCTGGAGGAGGTAATTCCCCATCAAGTGGCTTTGTGATTAGCTTTGCATCCTTTCCTGATCAGAATCTTCTGGTAATCTCTGATCCCAAGACAATGTATTCAACAACAAGCAGAATATGTTCAGGCTATGAGCTTGGACAGGATTTCTCCCTGTCAGGAGAAGGGTCCAGACCCGAAACGTCAGCTTTCCTGCTCCTCTGATGCTGCTTGGCCTGCTGTGTTCCTCCAGCTCCACACCTTGTTATCCGAGAAGTGGCCTTATTTACTTTACCTTTGCCTAAACTTTGAACGCCAAGCCACTTCTGGTGCCTTTAAAACCAGGGTGAGGGTGGGAAGGGAGATATCTGAGGAAAGCAGAGGGAGTCTATACTTATTGGGCACGAATGAGATGTGATCTTATAAAACGTGGAATTCTGAGGGGGCTGGGTATGGCAGACGAGAGGTTGAGGTTTCTGCAAAATGGGGGACACAGCTTAAAGAAAAAGCTAAAAGTAAAAGTACATGCTCCACCCCCACCCCCGCCATTTAACACTGAGGTGAGGTGGAAATTTTCAGCGGGATGATTGGATTTAGAATTCTCTTCCATAGTACAGGATGTGTCGTTATTTGAATACAGTCAAGGTTGTTAGATTTTTGATCAGTGGAATTAAAGGTCATATGGAACAGACAGGAAAGTGGAGTTAAGGCCACAATTAGATCAGCCGTGATCTTATTCAATGGTGGAGCAAGTAACGATGACTTAAATGGCCCTATTTGTTAGGATTTTATGAATATAGCTATACATGTTGTACACCACGAGTCCTATTCCTTTTACACTTAGCTTCATCTGAGACCATGTTTTCCCCTCATACAACTAATTCAAAATGCTCATTTACTAATCTTTCCCAGGGACTCAGCCACACAGTCGTTTAAGTTATACACACTAAACCAAAACAAAAAATGATCTGCGAATGCTGGAAATCAGAAACAAATGCAGACTCTACTGAGTTTTTCCCAGCAATGTCTGTTTTTAGTTCTCGAGTTATGTCTCTTGGTCCTGTAATTATGGATACTTTTGACCCCAGCATTCACTGGGGAGCTGTGCAGCTCCTGGAAACCCTGGATGTGGTTACTTCTCTCTCCCCATTTAGAACACATGGGGTTTTCACAATGCTTTAGCGCCCCCAATCTTGCGGTAAAGCCACGAGTTCGGCTTCTGTCGAGAAATACGTTTTTCATCGCAAAACCTCCCAACCCCGCTCCAAAGATGCTTATCCGTGCTGTACCCGGCTCCTGTGGCTTACCTCCGCCACTCTTGTAGCACAGGTACGGGAACCTCCAGACGTTTCCCAGTCCCACGGCATATCCAACACAGACCAACGTGAACTCTAGCTGGCGGCTCCATGTCTCGCTGCCTCGCTGACGGGTGGGGAGCGAGGAGCTGAACTCTTTAGACTGAGCCTCCTTTCCTTTGTCCGGCTCCAGCCTCACTTCCTCCGCTGCCGTCCCCATTGCCCTCTCATCGGTATGTTGAGCTCCATGCCCCATTATATCACTGTGTTAATGAGTCAATAGGCAATGGCCACAAGTCCTGTTGAGCCTGAACCGCTGTTTGAAAATGCACCACCTCTTCAATCGGAAAGTCTGACACGCTGTAACGCCGACTGCACTCTCACGTCTTTTATCAATCCATTCCCCTCTTAGCTCCTCCTCCGAGCAGCAATCATATTTTTTTGACCAGTTCCAGATCTCCGAACCCGTCCTCAGCACATGCATTGGGCCTATGTCATGCGTTCGCCTCTCCCGTTGCATAATCCGATACCCTAGCGACCTTCGGTTAGAATAACTTTTCGAAAAATGGTTCGGCCCGAAGAAATATCTCCTGTGTAATGTCAGCAATGATGTTAACAATCCAAGAATTAACAGATGTTAACTCCCCTTTGTTTTGGGGGGGATTGTTTAAATTAAATGAAACATAAATAAAGTTATTCACTAATGTTCAGGAATTCTTGAGACTAGCAGTAGCACTGAAGGCTTCAACATACAGTTGGAACAAATTATTGCAGATGCTGGAATCTGTACTGAAAATAGCAAATGCTGGAGATCAGAGCGGGTCAGGCAGCGTCCATGGAGAGAGGGAGAGCGCAAGCCAACATTTCAAGAGATGACACAGTGTGGAACTGGATGAACACAGCAGGTCAGGGCAGCATCAGAGGAGCAGGAAAGCTGACGTTTCGGGTCGGTACCCCTCCTCAGAAATACCAGATGGAAATACAGTAGTCAGTATTTTTGATGATCCAAATGAGGTAGTAAACTCACGTCAAATTTGAGTATGACTCCGGACTGCAGACTGGTTTAATCTCGGACTGTTGTCAGGAAGAAGGATGGTGAAGGCAGCTAGGGAAACAAACTTTGAGCAAGGACCTAACACAGTAGTCCCAGTTTTCCCAAAGTGTCACTGGAGTCCTCAGTAAGAAAATTGTAAGCGAACAATAACATCGCCCAGTTGCTGTTACTGTTCCGTAGTTCGAGGCCAGGTACCCTGGAGATGGATCAAACGACTTGGAGGGGAACTTGCCGATGGTTGGTTTCCATTTATCTGCTGCTCTTGTCCTTCTAAAAGTGGTTGGGGGTTTGGAATGAGCTATCGAAGGAGCTTTGGTAAATTTTACATTGCATCTTGTAGAATGTGCACACAACTAAGACTGAGCATCGGTGATGGAGAGAGGGGATTAGGTGCCAATCAAGTGGGCTGTTTTGTCTAGATGGTGTCAAGTTTCTGCAGTGTTGTTGGAGCTACACTCATCCAAGCAAGTGGAGAGAGTGTTTCATTATCCTTCTGATTTGTGCCTTGTAGTTGGTGGACAGGCTCTAGATAGTCATTTGTTGCATGTTCCTAGCCTCTGACCTGCTCTTGTAGCCATTGAATTTACGTGACAAGTTCAGTTCAACCCCTGGATAATGGTAGCCCCCAGGATTTATGATTGCAAGGGATTCAGTGATGGTAATGCCATTGAATGTCACGGGGGCTATGGTTAGATTGTTTCTTATTGGAGATGATCATTGCCTGGCATTTGAGACCTGCCAATGTTCCTTGCTAATTTTCCACCCAAACCTGGATAATGTCCAGGCCTTGCTACATTTGAACAAAGACTGCTTCAGTCTCTGAGGAATCGCAAATGGTACTGAACATTGACAAACATCACCTCTTCAAATCTTACAATGGAGGGAAATTCATTGATGAAGCAGCTGAAGATGGTTGGGCCTAGGGCACTACCCTGAGGAACTCCTGCAGAGATGTTCTGAGTTGAGATGACTGACATCTAACAATCACAACTATCTTCCTATTTGCCAGAAATGACTCCAAACAACAGTGACTTCTCCTTAAACCTCCTCCCAAAATGTCAAGGGGTGGGGGGTCACTCTCACCTCATCGGAGCTGGCTACAATGACAGATCATTCCTGAGAGTGAACCTGCTTTAAAAACTGTTTACACAAAACAAGAAACAAAGAAGCCAATAACATGATACAATGACAATAAATACTTCTCCTTTCTCAGACTAATACCTCATTACATGTGCATGAATAAAAATAGCATTCACGGATATTGAAATCTAGCACAACATTGGCATTTTCATGTTTTGTTTCAAATCTTTTTATCTAGGTCCCACTATTATTGTATTCTCAAGCTTCTTCTTCAGTTATTCTTATTTCTTCCTTGCTTCTTTCAATTCATTTAAAGTCTTTTGGTTCCTCCTATTTTCACTTGCTGCCTCACCCTATGTATTCTATCTACAAATCGATTCCTCTTGCTCCATATATATTCCTTTCTTTCATATTGCCAATCTCATTCTCTTGTCTCATTTTCTTTCTCAATCACACACACACATCCCATCCATAACATGCTTCATATAAATTATGAATGCCTCCCTTCTGGATCCAAACATTCTCTTTTCATTCCAGTGCACTTAGAAGTAGGGCCCTAGGTAGTGTTGTAGAACAGAGACACCTAGGGGGTTCAGGTACATAATTCTGTGAAATTTGCATCACATAGATAGGGTGGTTAAGAAGACATTTAGCATGCTTGCCTTAATTGCTCAGACCATTGAGTACAAGAGTTAGGATGTCATGTTGAGGTTGTACAGGATGTTGGTAAGGTCCCTTCTGGAGTACTGTGTCCAGTTCTGGTCGTCCTGTTATAGGAGGATAATGTTTGGCTGGAGAGGGTTCAGGGGAGATTTGCTAGATTGTTGCTGGGAATGGAGGGTCTGAGTTGTGGGGAAAGGCTGAGTGGGTGTGGACCTTTTTTTTGCTGGAGCATGGGAGGCTGAAGGGTGACCTTGTAGAGGTTTGTAGAGTCGTGAGGGGTATGAATGGGATGAGTGGTGGGTGTCTTTCCCCTGGGGTGGGGGGGTTTCAAGATGGGGGAACGTGTTTTGGGGTGAGAGAGGAGAGGGATTTGGAGGGGATGTGAGGGGTGGTGATTTTGCACAGCAGGTGGTTCGTGTGTGGTGTGGATGTGGATACAGTCACAATGTTTAAAAGACATTTAGATAAGCACATGAATAAGAAATGTTCGAAGGAATATAGGCCAAAACGCAAAAAAGGTGGGACTAGTTTAGTTTGGGATTATGGACCAGTTGGACCAAAGGGTCTGTTTCCATGCTGTATGATTATGCAGAGGTTTATACTTAGTTCTTACTGCAGCTTTGCTAATCTGTTCAACCACTTTCAATTGCAGATTTTTACAACTTCTTTCAATATATTTTATGGTCTCTCCTTATGTTGTGAATTAACAGAGCATGAAAATGTTGCATAAAACTTTGAGCATAAATTTGACTACTAGCTGCTGTGAATTAGAAAGTCTAATTTGGACTATGTAGATCCAGACAATGATCTGGTGCACAAAGCAAAAGAAAAAGTCAAATTGCAAGATAGACCCTACCCTAGAATTATACCTGCACACAACTTGCAGGTAAAGTAATTTTTAAAGAATTTTGTCCACTATAAACTGGAAGTGCACTACAGTGTTTTTGGAGATATGGTCAATTCCTGGATTTGACAGACTGTTGTTATATCCTCACAAAAACAACAAAAGGAGGAAGTTAAGTGGCCACATAATGCCTGCAATAGCTATTACAGCAGTGGCAGTGATTGTGGGTTTGTAGCACCACAGTGCGTCACCTCATAGTTCATGTTCAACCATATCTTCCCTCTATCCGCCCACTCCATTAACATCAATACCAACCCCTGGGGAATTCCACTATAAGCCTTCTTACAGCTGAAAAATACGCATTAACCATTATTCAGTTTCCTAGCCCTTTGCAACTATTTTGCAACTATGTTGCTACTGTCCCTTTTATTATTAGACTTCCAATTATCCTCAACTCTGTTGTATGGCACTGTATTTAAACACTTTTTGGAAGTCCATGTACACCACATCAACAGCCTTCAACAAAAATCTCCAGCCAGTTAGACATAATTTTCTCTTAAATCCGTGATGACCCTTCTGAAATCAATTCAGATTCTTCCCACATAACTTAATACTTAATACTATAACTGTTTCTAGAAGCTCTCTCCCACCAAAATTCAACCTGCTCGTCTTCAATTATGGGGCCAATCTTTACAACCTTTTTGAACAAGAGTGTATTGTTTGCAATTCTGCAATTTTCTGCACCATCTCCAACCAAGGAAGATTGAAAGATAATTGCTTGTGTCACTGCAATTTCTACTGTCACTTCCTTCAATACATCTCATCTGGTCCTGGTTAACTTTAAGCAGCAAAGTCTCTTCAGTACCGCCAAACATTTCTGGTGGCACTTCCTGTCACCATGGCCTGAACAGCATATACATCTTTTTATCTGATCAAATTGTTAATTTAACAAGTCAGCCATGTTTCTTGCTTCCATGTGTAAACCCTCTTCGTCGGTCACAAATTGTCTTACTCAGTTTACCACTATTTTATGATTGATGTGCATTTATAGACTTGGGATTTCTTTTTATGTCAGCTATGAATTTTTTAGAACTCCTCTTTGCTTCTTGTATTTCCTTTCTCACCTCCCTTCTGAACCTTCTGTATTCAGCTCTGTTCTCAACTGTATTTACTACCTGACACCTGTCATAGTTTTCTTTAACTTAATTTATATCATCTTTGTCATCCAGGGAGCTCTGAATTGATTGGTCTTATCTTTCCCTTTTGAAGGAATATAACTTGTGTGCCCAAACCATCTCTTCTTTGAAGGTAGCCCATTGTTCAACTACCGTTGTTTTTCCTGCAAACCTTTGGTTCCAGTTTATCCATCTAGATATGTTCCTGCCCCACTTAAGTCTGCTCTCCACCAGTTGATGATTCTTAGTCTGGATAGACCAATGTAATTTTCTATCATCCTTAACCTCATTCTGAAGGGGGAGGGTGAACAGCCAGCTGTCGTGGTGCATGTAGGCACCAATGATATAGGTAAAAAACAGGATGAGGTCTTACAAGCAGAATTTAGGGAGTTAGGAGCCAAGTTAAAAAGTAGGGCGTCAGAGGTAGTAATCTCAGGATTGCTACCAGTGCCACGTGCTAGTCAGAGTAGAAGTGAAAGAATAGGCAGGATAAATGAGTGGCTTGAGAGATGGTGCATGAGTGAGGGGTTCAGATTTTTGGGACATTGGAACTGGTTCTGGGGGAGGTGGGACTATTACAAATCGGACAGTCTATACCTGGGCAGGACGGTAACCAATGTGCTAGGGGCTGCTTTTGCT